ATATTCTTCTAATTTGAACACCATGTAGCATATAATTCAAATTCCGTTGTATACATATTTTACATCATCTTCGAATAATGCCAATATCACATATCCCTTCAAAAATTATAGCGCTATCGTAATTTTTTTGCATTATGTGAAAATATTAGTATTAAGTTAGGTATATATCAATTACAAATTTGAAGAATTTTCAAAGGAATTCAAAACAAAATTTAAAAATAGGGTGTTAAATTTTAAAAAAATCCATGCCTTTTTGTCAGGCTTTTCTGAGCCGCCACGTATTCTTTAAAATAATTTTAAATTGTGCATCCTAAAGAGCTTTACAACTTTGAGACAATGAACTTCACTTTCTTGTTTACTCACCTTCCAATAATGATCCCGAATGTTTCTCAAATTTTCTTCAACCAGTCCCCTATCATTTCTTTTATAATTTTTCTCCAAGAAATATAATGATTTGGACAAACGAGGACACACGGATTAAAAAAATGTGCAATAAAACAAACTTTGATATGTACATTTTTATTAAATCGTGATTCTTCGCATTCGCATATGTTACAAAACATTGTACTAACATTATTGGTCGCAGGTATTTCAACTTCTCGTTTAAACAATGTTACGTTTATATCTAAAAAACTTTTTTAAGTTCGCAAAAATTCCAGCTAAGCTTATCGAAAACGTAAAACGTAAATATAAACAATCCTTAAGATAACTTGCCTAAATCCATTGCTCGTATACGTGTGCCGCATCAGCAACAATTTGTTTGATTACAAGTAATCAATTCCGTTAAGGTTAACAAGGTACAGGGTGTCCCAAATTAATGCCTTATTTCAAACCGTCTCAAAATGGAGAAAATGACAATTTTTTCCGGAGATATCCGGAAAAACTGCAATTTCATTTGATTTATTTCCTGGCCTTGAAACAAAAACATTTATGTCATACAGTCTTTACATACTTTACTGATTTATTTACTTGCTCTTTGGGACACAAACAGGTTAAACCCACAATAGCGCCCTCTTAGGAATCCAAATATAACTACTTATTATCATGCGAAGCTTAGTTAATAACAATAACAATACATAAATGCGATGAATTGAATGAAGAAAAGTAACTATATAATTGATATTTCAGATTGAAAAGCGCATCAAATCCGCGAATCTTATAGAGAAGGCGAAAAAAAAGAAAAGAAAAGTTGAACTGGGGTGGCTTTTACTTCATGAAAATCCATTTAACAAAATAAATAAGAACTAAAAGTTTATAATTTTCATGTAATTATATATTGTCACATGACAATTGTTTCGACAACACAGTGTCTTTATCAAATGTTTGATTGACATTTGATAAAGACACGGTGTTGTAGAAACAATTGTCATGTGAAAATATATAATTTCGTGAAAATCTGAACTTTTAGTTCTTATTTATTTTGAAAAACGAAGAGTATTACTTATTTAAAGTGCCAGTTACTTTTTACTGTTGTAACGCAATTATAGACTTTGTAGTAAAAAAGATGTTTTCAAATGTTACAGATACTTTTCAATTTGAACATCTTATTTTTTTTTTAATATATTTTTTATATTTATTCTCAGGTTCTCAGTTGTTTAGCCTATGTAATAACTAGTTATCAAAGTAAAAAAAACGGATTGACATAACAATGATTTTGTTTCATAGCCACCTTATCTTTTGTGTAAATTTAAGTGTATTTTTCCAGACCGACAAGCTCATTCAAAATATTAAATAAAAAATTCGGAGAAAACATTGCAATGAGAAAGTGTCGTGTCTGTTTTCGTTCTTTTCTTTAAACTAATCAGAATTTTCTCGATTTTGAAAATACGCAACTTTAACCGACTTCGGATCTATTATGTCTTCCCAGTAGTCCACCTCGAATTTGGGGCAACCTGTACAGGGTGTTTCAGTGGGAAAACCGTATTTCTGAACTAGAGAGGGCAAAATCGACTTACAACTCAAGGGCTCGATTTTTGAGAAACATTTAATGGTTAAACCCGCATGGCAATATCTTCACTATCAACCGAGATATAGGGCGTTTTTCAATTTTAGGCCCTTTTGAAAATTTCCCTAAACTTTTTTATTTACAAAATATTTGCATTCTACAGTTCTCCATTTTCTCATAAATGAATAAAACTTTATTAGAGATTTGTTGGTATCTGTGATGAAAAAAGGCGGAAATATACGGTATTTTTTGTTTATGTATTAGTTTATGTATTTGTGTTCTGTGACACATAATCTTAGTGGCCAAACTTAAGTTTTTAGTAAATTTAGCAATTTAAAATGTACCAAAATTGCGAAAATTATGATATCGTAAAGGGTTACATTAAATACAGAACGGCACCAAGCAGACAAGCGAATATTACGGAAGTTCCAGAAAGCCAAGGCGAAATCAAAACCACTTAAATGAAAAACAGCCAATCCGGGAATTGTATATAGTTGGAGAAGTATTTTGACTACCTTAAATCTGAATTCAAGCCATATCGTATCAGAAAAGTCCAAATGAAGGGGATACCGGTAGAAGAATACAATTTTGCAACTGGGTTATCGGAAAATGCAATGAGGACATTAATTTTCCATTTTCTATTGTTTCGAGTGCTAAAGCGAGAATTGACTGTTCCGGAATATTTAACAGACACAACACTTATCGCTGGAGCACAGAAAACCCACATGCTGTAGTGTACCAACATAGGCAAGGTCGTTTTGGATTCAACGGATGGTTATATAAATATTTTGCGAACATGTGTTGTTCCATTTTTGGAAGAATTGGCATTAATGGTATTTATTATCAGCAAGATGATTGCGCTGCTCACAACGTACGGATTATAAGTGAACTTTTAAATGAAGAGTCGGACAATGTTGGATTGAAATTAGACACGCAGTTTGTGACCTGGGAGATTGTCTGATTTAACTCCTCTAGATATTTTTTATGGGCAGGATTAAAAGATCTTATTTTTTTAAAGATAGGATTTACCAAACCAAAACAGAGTTAGAAGAAGCCACCCGAGAAGCGTTTGTTTCCATTAATCCTCTAGAATTAGTGAACAGTTGCCATTCAATGCGAAAAAGGTGCGTTTTTTAAAATAATTAACATAAAGACCATAGCCAACTATGATTGCCACATAAAATAAGAAAGGTGTATTTATTTATAAGAAAACGGAGAACTGGAGAAAAAATCTGAGCATGCCACTGCATTTTCCTTTAAAAATTTTCATAAATAAAAAAGTCGGTAGTGAAGATATCGTCATGCGATTTTAACTGTTAAATATTTCTGAAAAGTCGAGCCCTTGACATGTAAGTCGATGTTTTGCTGTTACTCCAATTACGATCACCCTGTACATGATACTGGTCGGCCGATATTTATCCTGGGCTTCTGCAAATGTAGATATCCGTAGTAGATATTTTGGGCTATAACATTTTAAAGTTCTCAGGGCAAACTTCGACTGAAACCGCCAACCACCGCCAACTTGACGCATAAACAACTTCAACGAACCTACATTAAACCTAATATCGCAACCGTCAAGTAAACCTAACCTAACAAATAATTTTACCCTGTACAAATCATACATGACCCGCGAGGGCTGCGTCTAACATATAAACATCACAATGTTAAGGCATAAAACCTAAACCTATAAATTCGCGTTACCTACAAAGATTTTAGTTTTTGTTTCGTCCGATGCGGTTTGAAAACGCCAATGTTTGGTCGGCTGCTTTTAAAATTCAATGCCGTTTACATTCGTCATAGTTAATCAGGAAGTCGTTAAATATTCGGTGCCGTTGAATTATTTAAATTTTCGGCCGCAGTCAAAACATACATATATGACCAAAATTGTCGTTTGAAGCTTTATTTGCATTTTTTCGACGATTTTGGTCATTCGGTTTATCACTCGCGGAATCACTAATAAAGGACAGTGTAATTTTTTTATTGCCAAACTTCAGATCCATTACTGCAAATCACGAATGAAAAAAAAAAAAGCGGTAAAAGTATTCAGTTTTCCTTTACGAATTAGAATCAGATGAAATCTCAAAACTAGCAAAAATGCGGTTATTCAAAAAAAAAACAACCTTTTATTATTCACCCTCCAGTAACTCCGAAACTATTCAACATATCCGAATGATTTTTTGTTGCACATGACCTAAAATATGAAAATTGGATTTTTTTTATTGAAATTTTCAATAACCGAGAAACTTTTTTATTTGGAAAATTTTCGTAATATAGGAAGCGAAATAAGTATGGCAAAATACATGAGGAAATTTTCGAAAAAAACCGCAGCACCTTATCTATAATAGTTTTTGAAATATGATTTTTTGACGATAATGTTTCTTCCAAAATCCAGGAATTACTTCGTTACACTTTAGGTGAATACTCAAAGTATTTTCTAGCTGAGAAAATTTATGATATAATTCCGAAATAACTTTGCCGAAGACAAGTCTCAAGGAATAAAGTGAGCTGGTAGACATGAAGATGACGCAATCCATTCGATTTGGGTGATGTTCCCAACCAACTAATAAATATATGCATGGGAAAAGTAGCCATAAGAAAATTGAAAAAAGTCTATCTAATTATTTAGGAAGGACTGCAGAAAAAACAGTTTGTAATTTATCTTATATTTAAATTTTACTGATGTTACTTCTTTTAAAGACCATATACCATATACCATATACTTTTTTCAGTTATTTTTTGTCTTATAGAATTATTTATTGAAATTTGTTACCTTGTTTAGTTTGCCTATAAACTGCAATTATTCATTTTTCTTATTAAGTATTTTCAATCAAGCTAGATAATTAACTATTGAATGTCTCTTTAAATATGAATTCAGAAGTTTAATTAAATCTGTTAAATGTGTAGTATAGAGTCGATTTTTTTCAAAATTTCTACGTATTAATGGACACCCTGTGTTGTTACCAACAGGTTTTGTACAAAAATGGCATTTTTTAAATATTGTTTATTTTTTTTTTAATACATATATATATATATATATATATATATATATATATATATATATATATATATATATATATATATATATATATATATATATATATATATATATATATAATATAATAATTTTTTATTTTTCGAGTACACAGTAGAAATGTTTTGTGGTATAATACGGAATTGTCACTTTTACAAATTACGTATTTAAGCACATCATTTTCAGTTAATGCCAGCAATTTTAAAGTATTTATAATATTTATCTACTCAATTATTTTATAGTAAAAAAATGAAAAATATATTGTTTTTTGGTACAAGGAGAACGCTGATTTTATAAATGCAAATTCAAGGCAATCGCGAGTAACCATTTTAATTTATTTACAAAAGTATTTTACTCAAATATTTTATTTGACAGAAGTAGGGAAGATTGTTTTTTAACGAACGTAAATTAATTATTGCGTTTTTGGATTCTACAGATTTATGCGAATAACTTTATAGTGGATCAGTATGTCAAATTAGAAAAAAAACCATAATTCAAATGGCGAGAATTACAACACAGCAAGCAATACAATAGTAGACCAGTTTAACGACATAACGACGTTGGAGTCACTTATGAAACTCTGCAACCCAAATTTAAAATCATTTAATTAATCACGAAAAATTAATATTTCTAAAAGCATCTTGACGCGTTCAATTTTGTAAGGAAAGTTTTCTGGATATTCAACTTTTGATTAGTTAAAAAAGTTATCCAACATCTAAACGATTCATCTTCTATTGCTGCAATAGATGCAAAAAGTCTTTTTTGCAACACCAAAAGTGAAAGAAAATTTAATATTTTTAAAAACAAATGATTCTTTTGTACTTATAGCACTCACCAATTGAATGTCACCTCTGTTTCTTTGACAAATTCTGTCACATAAATGATTTAATTAGGGGTAGATTGCAAAAAAGTTTCAGGATATAAAAAAAAAATATGTCCCTAATTGTAACACTGCGGTCATAGTAAAATTGTATTTAATTACCTTTTACTGGGAAAATTGCATACCGCGATTATCACGAATCATGAAAGGTTAATAAAAACGTGTGCCCAATTGTTCTCACAGCTAAAATTATTAATGATTTTTAAATTTATTCTATAAGCAATATGATTTATCTTTATGAAATATTTCAGCTGCGACTATTTTGAGGATATGGTTGTCAATTAAAACACCTTGGATTATGAAAAAAAATAACCATCTACCAGGCACACCCAAGAATCAAAAAGTAAAAGTTACCTAAGTAGTTATCAGGATAACTGCCACGCACCTCTTGGTCTAAATCGCATATAAGATCAACGCGAAATATTGGTCAGAAAAGGAAAAAAAAAAGAAAAAAAAAAGGTAAATAAATGAATAGATAAAAAAAAAGATTGAATTTCTTGCAAAACCGGGTCGCTGGGTGCTTGCAAATTAGTTACCCGTAGTGCTCAGAGTTCTGGAAGGATGGGGGGGGGGGGGGGTCCACGAATAATAAAGAAAATATAGCACTATTTATCCTTAGCGCGCCAGGAAGTAGCAGACCTTCCAGTCTCTCAGATGGTGTGAGGAACCCGATGTTTTACAAAAAAAAGAGTACATTAACGATGAAACCTACCATTAAATTGAAATTGGTACAATCGATAAAAGATAGTCGTGAAGGTTAAGGGGGCAAAAAAGAGACAGATGAAAACTGGTCTACGTTATTTATTACGCGTCGATAATGAGAAACTACAAATCCGCGACATACCGACTAAAGCTCCGCAAAATTCAATTGCCGTCCCCGCAACAAGTTGACAGCACGTTTAATACGAAATTCTCAAAATAATAGAAATACACAAAGAAAAAAAATAAAAGGTCAAATTCCCTTAGGTGATCACCACAGGCTAACAGGGGCAATATAGGTAATTATTAAAAAAAAAACTCGACCACGATCATACTCAGTATTACCGGTACGTCAACTTCCCGCAAATAAATATACATAAATTTTCAAAGCATTTGTACACAAATTTTCGAGAGTAAAAACTACATGATTATTGAATTTCCGTGTCGGTATAGCAAAAAAAAAGGTATCGATTAAATTACCGAGCGTAACAAAAACGGAAAACAAAAAAAAGGGTATGCCTAACAATATCTCGCGTAGCGCTTACATCGAACTGGACGTCACCTCGTTTATTTCCCGAACAGTGCAGCCTACAGGGGGTGTCTGACCTCGCGCAGATCTATCAAGTGAGCCGGTAGTGAAGCAATGATTCAAATGTGCTCCAATATCCAGAGAACACAGGAACTTCGAAGTTTAAATCCTCCCCGAATACGTCAATCCAGAAGCCTCCGAAACGCGAGCCCTCCTAAAGGGAGTACGGGTGCTCTAAGGCGAGTACAGGGCTTCAAGGAGATGCGGGTGCTCCAACGAGAGTACGGGTGTTCCAAGGACCCTATAAAGTTTCCGAAAACCAGCCGGAAAATTTACTGACTCTTTAAAGAGTGAATAGAATGGTAAAGGTAACAAAAGCTAAATAGTTAAAGACTTTACCTCGATGGATGTTCTTGAGGGTGAAAGCTTGGTAGGCAGCCGGTAGCAGTCAAATCCTCTTACAGAGTAAGTGTGGGCAGTTCTCCGAACGAACCAAAAATATAAACAGCAACGGAATCACCAAATCGCTGACCACACATCTAAGTGAATTTAACCCTATATCCGCAAAGCGATGGCTGAAGAAAAAGCCGGTAGGTTAATCACTTTTTGGCTAGCTATCACACTGTTCTACCGAAACAGGAAAACGATATCATACCACGCATGTCGCTCGGAGAAAGGAGTGAGAAAGATAAATAGATTACTTATTACAAATTATTACTTATTACGAATTATTTATTCAAAGAGAATATATACGCATTTATTCCGCTGTCGGGTTCAATTAATTCTTCATTGATAAAAGGGTATAGTTTTAAGGAGACCATTTATTAAGAAGTGTGTATTTGAAACATTGGTATTAACAACTAAATAAAGCGAATTAAATTACGACTTTCTTAGCCTGGTAGCGCGGACGTCAGAGCAAATCAGGTGTTTGCCGGTGAGGCAGGAAAAAAAAAGGCGCTTAGAATTTAAAATGTAGGCGCGGAACTACCGGATCGTATACCAGTAAAGTAACAATTCTGAAGTGTTACATAACAAGTACGAAAAAATTGAAATTGCATTAAAATTTTAGAAAACAACCGCGTCCATTACTTAAAGATACCTATTTTGAAAGGATAAATTATAAAATAAAAATCCCTTAGGTGTCAATGAAATACCTACCTACACCTTCATTGTAGTATGTTTAATAAAAGTTGTAATTTTTTTAGCTTAAACAATAGCGTAAATTGTTGTACTTTATATCATGTCCAATAACCTCTACGTTATTTTCAAAACTGTTAATTATATTTTATTTGTAAGTGTATAGTGGAGACCACCTATATAGATAATGAACCAAAGTAAAACAATTTAACCGCATTTTATAAATTAATTTGCTATCTGAACCTCTCTCTTTATTTGGATAAATGTTTCGGCCGCTTTCGGATGTTCGTCGCCGGTGCCTCGGGTGATATGGACAAATGCACATTATAGCATTTGTGGCTTTCCCAAATTTTTAACCAGTAAATTGACCGATTTTTTTTTTAATGCGATGAAATTTATATTTACTTATTTATATTGTGCATTACGTCGGCATCGTGTCGTTCTCAAAAGTAAATGGAGTGGATATGTTTATTGGGATTTCCCAAATTGTGTTCGGTTAGCTCTTGAAGAGAATTATAGGTAAATTGGACATCACAAATGTATAATAATTTATTATAAAATACATATTATTAGTAAATAACGATAGATAACGCTCTACAATTGATATTTAAAATATTTTGATCCAATTTGACTAGGCAAATAAGAAGTGGTCGATTGAAGGTCAATTGACCCATCAATTAAAAAGTCGTCAATTGACAGGTCCATTAAGAAGTTTTCAATTCTAGGTCAATTGACCTCTTAATTAAAAAGTTGTCAATTGACAGGTCAATTAAGACAGTGTCAATTGCAGTTTAATTATCTGATCAATTAAAAAGCTGTCAATTGACAGGTCAATTAAGAAGTTGTCAATTGTAGGTCAATTGACCGATCAATTAAAAAGTTGTCAATTGAAAGGTCAATTAATAAGTTGTCAATTATAGGTCAATTGACCGATCAATTAAAAAGTTGTCAACTGAAAGGCCAATTAAGAAGTTGTCAATTATAGGTCAATTGACAGGTCCATTAAAAAGTTGTCAACTGAAAGGTCAATTAAGAAGTTGTCAATTGTAGGTCAATTGACCGATCAATTAAAAAGTTGTCAGTTGACAGGTCAATTAAGAAGTTGTCAATTGTAGGTCAATTGACCGATCAATTAAAAAGTTGTTATTTGACAGGTCAATTAAGAAGTTGTCAATTGTATGTCAATTGACCGATCAATTAAAAAGTTGTCAACTGTAACGTCAATTAAGAAGTTGTCAATTATAGGTCAATTGACCGATCAATTAAAAAGTTGTCAACTGAAAGGCCAATTAAGAAGTTGTCAATTATAGGTCAATTGACAGGTCCATTAAAAAGTTGTCAACTGAAAGGTCAATTAAGAAGTTGTCAATTGTAGGTCAATTGATCAATTAAAAAGTTGTCAGTTGACAGGTCAATTAAGAAGTTGTCAATTGTAGGTCAATTGACCGATCAATTAAAAAGTTGTCATTTGACAGGTCAATTAAGAAGTTGTCAATTGTATGTCAATTGACCGATCAATTAAAAAGTTGTCAATTGACAGGTCAATTAAGAAGTTGTCAATTGACCGGTTAATTAACAGTATTACAACAAATTAAAAAAATATACGAATTTGCTGTTGTCTCTGATAGAGTTGATAATTGATATATAAATTTTTAAATGTTGATTTAAATAGAAGCAAGAAGGAAATCTAAGTAGTTATTATAAAATGTCTGTCTTTCGGGACCCTTTTGGCCATAATGCAAATACGGCGGTGGTCAATATGCACGTAAGTTCCGGAAATATTACGTACGTTAGTAGTTACACTTTTGCCGATATTAGCAAAATTGAAAGCCGTGTATATATCCGACACCTTTGGCGGGATTCATCGGAAACACTTTGTATTCCGTTAAAAAGCAGATAACATCTGTCGAGTCCCCTTCAAACCGCAAAGGACATAAACGAATCATTCGCTAAGAAATCGCTTACCGGGGACCGCCATCAAAGGCACATCCCGGGGTTTTGGGCGCACCACTTCGGCCACAAGGACTCGGGTTTCAGACCCCTTGCCGCCAGCCTTTCCCTCTGAGTGCTCAGTCGGGTGTAAACGTCTTCTTGTATCGAATACGTTGAAAGATCTAACGGGGGGTCGGTCCACACCCTTTCGGCAAACGCTGCCGTCCGAGGCCACAGTCGCTGATCAAGCGACGTCTCGTCCAATTGTTCCGTCCACAGGCAAACCTCACCACCTGTTATCATATCATGAAATTGTAGCGCTTTGACATACGGACATAGTGAACTCGATCTCAATTTGAATGGCCACGGCGTGATGGAATAGTGGGGCGACTTTTATAATCGAAAAAGACGGCTAGTAATGGGGATCTTAGTTTTTGTTTTGCTCATTTAAGTACGAGGTTTTGTTCAAAAAGTAGGGTGATTTTCGTAATTGGGCGGGCTACGGACATTCGGTCTTCGATAATTTTTTTTATGTTGGTACACATGGTTTATTTAAAACAAAATAAATAAATAAGAACTAAAAGTTCAGATTTTCACGAAATTATATATTTTTACATGACAGTTATTTCGACGACACCGTGTCTTTATCAAATGTAATATAACCTCATTTTGTTAATCTCCATGGCTTCCAGTAAATTTAATTTTCTACTTTTTGTGAATGTATGTAAAATATCAAAATTGTCGTCAAAAATGAATTTTTCTGTGTTTAAGTGTGTAGCATAATTAGAATCTAGACTATTGTTTTTGAACGTTCTTTTATGTTCGTTAATGCGTTTCTTGAAGGATCTTCTCGTTTGTCCAATATAAATTTTAGGCCAAGATCCGCATTTCAACCTGTAGAACCTGATTTTTGAGATTTTGCACATTTCGTTTTATTATTTTTTTTTTAAATTTTGCTATTGTGTTCTAGTTCTGAAAGTTATTTTTAAACCACAGGTTGACAAATGTTTTTAAACTTTTTCACTAGGTTCTCCTATGTATGTAATTGTTTTAAATTGTTCGTGTTCTGTATTAGGTTTCGGATAATTAGAGTTTACTGTTGTCTGGATTTGTTTTTTATTTATAATTGTATCTATAATGGACGGATTGTAGCCGTTGTTCAGTGCAATTTGTTTAATGATATTAAGTTATTTGTTGTAATTTTCTGTTGAGTGGCGTATTAAGAAGTCTGTGTATAAAAGAGTGAAATGCAGCTATTTTGTGTGTATAAGTGTGATTTGAGCTGTTATGTATGACTCTGTGTGAGTGTGAAGGTTTATGATAAATGGAAAAATCTAATTTGTTTTGCGTTTTCTTAATAGTTAATTCAATCTCGATAGATTATGTAATGAGTTAATGTAATTTAAAAAAGAAATCAATTGTCTGTCCGTTCCAACAAAGCATGCAAAGACATCATCCACCATCACCACCATAGAAAACTTTTACTTAAAGGATGTTCTAGTATGATATGATATGATAAAAGAGTACATTTTCTTCATTTTTTCCTAAACCCTTCAATTTTTTCCGCTTTCAGGAGATATTTTTTCAAATGGAAATATTTTTTCTTCTATAAATCCGCAAAGGCTGATAACCAAATTAATTACAAATAGTTCAAATTTTCATTAAAAATTAGCGAAGACAGAAAAATTGATTCTTTTTTATATGGCAGACATATTAAGTTGCAACAGGCTAAAAAGTTCCTAAATGAAGTCGTGGGCGGGCACATTTGGAGGAAAAAAGGCCTATTTCAAATATGTGTCATTAAAATAAAACATAACCTATACAAAAAGAGTCATAAGAAATCATTTTCTTACTTCAGACAGAAATTTGAATATCTCTCTATAAAGGAGCAACTCTGCTTGTTTCAAAAATCTGTCTCTAAGATCAAACATAACCTATAAAAAACAGCTATGAGAAAGCTTTTTCTTACTTCAGACGGAAATTTGAATAAATCTCTATAAAGGAGCAATTCGTACAGACTACTAGGTATATTTCTCGATTATTTTTAAGCAGTTTGTGGTCCAAGTTAATAAATACCTATAATCTGCTTTTTGGCGAGGTGCATCTGTTGCCACGGCCGATGATTATAAACCGTTTGCCATGGCCTGTAAGGGTCGCAGGCCGCCTCTCCGGTTTCCCTCCACCTTCCGAAGCCGCAGTCTAAGTACCAAGCGTCCACGTGCGAAACGAGTACCCTGTAACCGTCTGCAATCAAATCCGGCGTGTCCGTCCACTGACTCGCCCCCCAACTTTGAACTATGATCGACTCCTGAAGTGAAAAACGATAACTTTGACTTACCAAAAAGAAATTGACTTCTATTTCTAAACGAATCAGTTGAGAAATATTCAATTGTGATTAAAGTAAAATTATTGTCCAAAAACATTTTACAAAAATTAACACTCCAGAGAAAATCTCTGGGGAGTATTGGGTAGATATGGGTACAATAGAAAATAGTGCAAAATTTCCCAAACCAAGACGTGCGAGATATTCAGATTATTTCCAAATTTTCTAGTACTAAGTTTATCTAAGTTATTATCAAATGTACAACGTGTGCCAAATAAAACAATGCACTATACTATCTGGTAACTCATAGGAGATACGGAAAAAAGTTTCTTCTGAAAATTTAAAATGTGATAATTTTGTGGATACAGGGTGTCCCAAAAGTGTCCGCTCCGACATCAACTTTGTCATTTTAAAGGGAACACAATGTATATTTCCTCATTACTGAACCAGGTATTTCAACGAAAATTTTACCACAGGCTAAGGAGATGATGGACTACTCAATCAGTTTAACGGATGCGCCTCAGTTTATACAGGGTGTCCCAAATAGGTGGTGCCGTGTTGGCGATTTCAATGAACAATATTTTTATCAATTCCATAATAAAAAATAAGATAACACCCGCATAAATGAATTTAAAGCACATTAGATCACTTGTTGGCAATTTTTGAAATAGCAAAGACATGATACTACTTCTTTTAAAGGTATAATACTCCATATATACGAATAAAACCTATTGCTAACAATACTTCAAAAAATATCGAAATGTACAAGGTGTTCCATTTAAAATAACAAAGTTGATATAGAGGGGGACACTTTTGGGACATCCTGTATTAACAAAATTTATAGTTTTTTAAATATTCAGGAAAGTTCAAGAAACGTTTGTACGAAACTTTTTTCGTATCTTCTATGGGCTTCCAGATCCAGGTGTATATTGGATAATGGTCGCCTATTTGGTATAAATCTATTAGGAAAGCGCTCTTGATCGTCTTTCCATAAAATGCATATCTGCCGACTCCTCATTAGTAAACTTGACCACTATTTCTTAATTAATTAGACGCGAAGAACTGATTTTAAAAACTAATGTCAAACAATTGTCAAACAACCGCCTTGACACCAGAATTAATAATTCTTACAGATACAGCCTACTACAATAATAAGAAATAATTATAAAGATTTCAAAAATACACCTCAGAGTTTACGTAATTCGTACGCTTTTTTGAGGTATTTTAATAAAACAAACGGACAATTAGTTATGTAAGAAATGCAGGGAACAGGTTTTTATCTATTTAAGCGAAAACCATATATTGAATAGAAAAAAATCACGAAATTAAATATTGTTCACTGGAGATTTTAAGAATAATTGTTATTTTAAGAGAAATCAGTGCCGTTCCATCGATGTCCGCCAAAATAGACATGCGAAATTCCGTACGCCCGCCACTGGTGTATTTATTTATTTACTTATCCACGGGCCAACCGCCCAATATAAAATAAGATTCACATAAAGAAAATAGTAAAAAAAATAAATTAAAATAAAATTAAACAAAAATTAACCAGAATGAAATAGATACATAAAGAGCTAACCCAGTATGACAAATAATGGTTTTATAAAATATTAATAATAATTAATAACAGTAGCGAGGCATCAACACGTTGTTCTACAATACTATTCAGAAGTCTGACAACTGACAGTCTTTTAGTTTTTTCTCAAATATTTTAATACTTTGGAAGCAGTCAAGTTGGTCAGAAAAGCGATTCGCCAGTGCAGCTGATCTAGTAAGAAAAGAACTCAGTTCATAGTATGATGGAACTCTATCTGGAAGGAGTGATTTATTCTGGTCTGTCGGGGCGGGGGGGGGGCGCGAAGCCCAACCTTACATAACAGCTCGGGTCCACCAGTAGATTATAAAAAATGGAGAGAGTTGTAAGTTGGAGACAGATTTATAATTCCGAGTAATCGACGTCCTCAAGTCCTGGGTGCTCCTTAAATGCTATATACCGCAGGAACCCATGTTGCACTCTATGGCCTGTATGTGGACGTTATACGAAGATGACCACACACGTGATCAATAATACAACGCTTAATAAAGCCCAAAATCTGAACTTATTTAGACACAATAGATGAAACATGGTGTGTGTAAGTCAATTTAATATCCAGTAATACTGAAAGATCCTTATTACGGAGGCCTTCAATAACGGTGACCTTTTTATGTATGTATATGTATAATGTATGAGGTTTCTGCTTCGGTTCCATTAAACTCGCACTATAGCGATAGGTGACTCTCATATGGAATTTTAGGTCGTCAGCAAATAATAGGAAAAATGTATGATGAGGACATGAGGCAATATCATTCACATAGACATTGAAGAGTAGGGGTCCCAGGTGTGATCATTGAGGAACACCAGAAGGCACTTTAATTTCGGTCGACTGGAAGTTATGGACGCGCACAATCTGCACTCTTTCAGTAAGGTACGATGTTAACCATTCCAAAAATTTTAACTGGATTCCAATGTTTCGCAATTTTTTTATATAAAAAAAAGTGGTACACTAAACAATGCCTCTGGATACATAGTGCATGTGTGCAAAATTCATTAAAATATCCAAAGTGCTATGAAAAAAAAAAAAATTTTTAGAAAAATTTATCACCCTGTTGAAAAGTTTAGGACATATGTTCATATGAAGTTTTCTTTAATTTTTTCAATTTCTTTCTTTAATTAGAAAACGCCCAGTATAAATTCTTGTTGCAAACGCTTCATTTCACAAAATACATGTTTATAGCAAAACTTTAACATTTTTTGAATATATCTTTTTAAAATGTTCTTTATTATTGAACAAAAATAAAAAAAACTTGGCAGCCCGCCATTTAATGTACCTTTCCTCGGCTGGTCTACCTGTACTTCCTTTAGCTTAGGCTAATCTGATAGAGTTCTCCAAACCATATAGCGTTTTTACGACACAATCCGGTATTTAATTTTTGTAATTCTTTATGAAGGTCTAACACCAGGCTTGTAACCTTCAATAAATAGATTCGTAATTCCACAATGACGTTCCAGATCCGTACTGCAGTACTTCATCCATACAAAAACATCCATTAAAAATCAATTATCTACATAAGATTTTGTATTGCTTTCCTAGGAAAATATTTTAGATTCATCATGGTAAATTGGAAATCATTTAAACTTTCTGTTTTCAATATACAAAATCGAGGTACCTCAAGTAGGGACTATTTTAGGAAGATTTATAAAAGGCATACTAATATCATCAAAGAAAATTTATCTACTCTTAAAAATCAATAGTCCCCAGGGCACAGTTTTCATCGGCTAACATCTTAAATACGACCCTGGCTCGTAGTACACGTGTTGAAAAGAATGATCCCTTCCGCTTTAAAACAGGCAGGTCTTAAACTCAGTCCGAAGTCAAAACCACAAAAGGTTGTAAAAACGGTATATCTTTTGGTGAACTTTACCTAGCATTAAGAACAGGGAAGTATTTTGTTCGTTTCCAATCCGAACGAAAACCAAAAATTTCGTTTTCATTCAAATGAAATAACGGTTAAAACCGTTTTTTGCTATTTTTCTAATAAAAGCATGCCAACATGACTTTTTATTTTTTTTAGATATTTGGCAAATAAGTTACTTGTCATAATTTTAATCATAGCTGGCAAAAATTACTAACATAAAATTTATGCTTTTAAAAACTTAAACGTTAAAAATTTCAATCAACTGCGTTTTAAGTGGCGAGGGCATTTTTGCTTTTTATTAATATTAAAAATAAAATTTAGAATGAATTGCTCGGGACCGTTTCTGTATTGGAGAGGCATGAATCTGTTTTAGTTTCTTTCATTTATTCCCATTAAATTTTGTTACTTGAAAACCACGCACAAACTGCTATGCAGTTTAGTGGTATGCCAGTGACAGAGTTTTTTTTGTTTTTTTTTTTCGCTTCATATTTTAAATATTCATATTTGTTTCTTTTCTCTCTGATCTTGCTTTATTTTAAATAACTTTTACTTACTTAAAAATTTTGTGTCATAGTTTTTTGTAAATAAAGTTATTATTATCATTAAAAATAAGATAAAAAAATTGTTAATACATTTATTTTATAGTAAAAATATATATATAAATAATTCAGTATTCCAAAATAAATAAAAATTTTGGTTAATTAGACTAAAGATATTTTCTGGACTAAATCACAGGGTTATTATTAATTTTAGTATATATGAACATATTTATATAAAAATTAATTGAAACTACTTAATTTAAGAAGCAAGACACCTTCCAATAAATTTTCTTTTAAATTCGACCTTTGACAATTAAAATATATTTCAGTGCTGAAAATGCTCGTTCAATACAAACTCGTGTCATCGGTAAACCAATACTTTCTTTTACAACGTTATACAATTCATTTGATGACGTTTCTTTTCCTGCCAAATATTTTAGGACACAAATATATTTCAGTGCTGAAAATGCTCGTTCAATACAAACTCGTGTCATCGGTAAACGAATACTTTCTTTTACAACGTTATACAATTCATTTGATGACGTTTCTTTTCCTGCCAAATATTTTAGGACACACGTATCTTTCTTTTAAATTCGACCTTTGACAATTTCAAATATATTTCAGTGCTGAAAATGCTCGTTCAATACAAACTCGTGTCATCGGTAAACCAATACTTTCTTTTACAACGTTATACAATTCATTTGATGACGTTTCTTTTCCTGCCAAATATTTTAGGACACAAATATATTTCAGTGCTGAAAATGCTCGTTCAATACAAACTCGTGTCATCGGTAAACGAATACTTTCTTTTACAACGTTATACAATTCATTTGATGACGTTTCTTTTCCTGCCAAATATTTTAGGACACACTTATCTTTCTTTTAAATTCGACCTTTGACAATTTCAAATATATTTCAGTGCTGAAAATGCTCGTCCAATACAAACTCGTGTCATCGGTAAACCAATACTTTCTTTTACAACGTTATACAATTCATTTGATGACGTTTCTTTTCCTGCCAAATATTTTAGGACACACGTATCTCGCTTTTCGAGTGGTTCTTCATAATGACGATCTAACAACCATCGAATATCTGCTGTATTATGAGATTTTGTCATCATCTTTTCATCATTTCATCTTCTTCTGTTGAAGTTGAGATTAAAGACGACTCTTCAACGAAATTGTTACCTTCATTTATATTTTTTAGAGCGTTCCATACACGTAGTTTTTAGCTATGTCAATTTGTGAAGTAGATAAAACTACTTAGAATCTTAGATCAAGAAATATTGCCGACATAGTCACATCTTGATTAAATAGTGCTTTTCCATTTTACACTTCAGCCTGGCAGAATAAAAATCTCCAGCCAACAAATGCGTTGTTTAGAATAATTTTGCTGTTTTTTTTTTTGCAGGATTTAAAACATTACAGATGTCTTGTATATCTGACCAATCATTTGCGCTTAAATATTGCTTTTCAATGCTTCCGGTCATGTTTTTACAAAAGTCTTTCAATAATAAGAGTCTTTCCTTCCTTCCTTCTTGTTTTCATGCATGAATTCATCTTATTTTATGCTCTAAACACGGAATCTGATATAAAAATAAATACCACGCGTAGGTTTTTAATTTAATATTTATTTCACCAAAAAACAATATTATTAAAGTATAAATTTTTATAAGGAAATAAAAAAATGTGGCGGCTTGAGTTTTACAGTAAAAAATATAGCTTATAAGTTATTTTAACCAGATCGGTCATGACATGTCGCTGTGTTTTTAGTATGTATTCCCCACAAATGTAGCAAAAACATTCTGAGGAATTTTTACAAGTCCGTGGCATTTTGTAACCTAAAATCACATAAAATTAATTTTAAAACAACTTTCAAACTTCTATTTTATATTTATTGGCTCTACTTATACTCAATCTACACATCAAATACTTAAATCCAATGTAGAGAACATGAACTTTATGCAAAACTTACCAAAATATTTGATATAAAAGGTAAACAATTAAATGACAAGTTTTCACTGCTGTGTCACAGTGAATACTGCGCATGAGCTTATTTACTACCATAAAATCACCTTCGGCACTTCACTCCTTTCTCTTACAACTCTCTGAAACTCATTTTGTATGTATATTTACTTTTTGTAACGTTAAAGGAGGATTTCATTGCCAACCAATGTAATATCGCGTTGCTGGTCCTCTAGCAAACTCACCGATTTGAGCATTGTCTGTTGTTATATTGATATTCTTTTAATAATAATTATTATTTTTGAAATGTATGAGGAACCATGTCTTTCCTTCAATTCCCGCATCGCCAATGCCCTTAAAACTAGACAATTATTGCCAATAAATTGAACGTTGATTCCTGATATACTTCTATCAAGTCTACTTGCTCCATCAACTTTGAATTCTGTCGTTATTTTTCCTTTTAAACCCGCATTTTTTATATTTTCCAGGTTAATTGCAATTTTATTTTCTGGTCCAGCTATTATCAGATCTAACATTTTTCGAAAACCCGAATCATTTGATATGCCGAATGGACGGCCGTAAACTGTTAACAGTTCTGTAGATGCTGTATATGTAATGTTAATTGAAATATAGGTTTTTTGTTTTATAACGACATCATTTAAGGTAGGTTGGATATTTAGCCGCGTTTTTTTAGTTGTTGCTGATGAATTTGAAGAGTGCGGTTATGATGAGCCTGCAGAAATGTCAAAAATTTCTTTATGACAAGATTGTACGCGCCGCTGCGAGTTTACTGAATGATTTGTACTTGTAAAAAAGCTTTGAGACATTTTTATAAGTTTAAATTTTATTATTATTTTAAAATGTTACCTTTATATATGTATAATAACAACTTTACAAGATTAAGACACACAAACTGATACCGATAACTGAATGTAACGAATTTGTGTAAGAAAATATTGGAAAAAATAATATGGGAACACCCTGCATGTGTGCATGCCATTAAACCGGTTAAAACCGGTAACCGAAATTATTTATTTCGTTTTCGTTTTTTTAAATTATTCGGTTAATTTCGTTCTTTCGTTCTCGTTTCCGTTCCGTTCTTAGTCCCTGATTAGGAAGGAATTTATGCTCACCGCACTCACCTTATCGAAAAACTTGGTTATATAAGGCCGCTTGTTGAGTTTATTCGACCAGACGATGACGTTCGGCACCTTTTCGCCACCATTAGCATGCTGAAGCCTTCCCAATGCTTTGACGGTGAACTCGCCCCATAGCTCGTGCAAATCAGTGTAGTTGCTCAGGGTGTTGGTTTTCTGGAGGTGTTGGGCCCAACATTCCAGGTTAACCTCGTCGCCACCCAAGTGGAAAATTTCATTTTCGCCGCTTAATTCGATGAGATCTCTAAAATAAACGAAATTCTACATTAACATTTTGGCTTTCCATATTCTGAGTTGATTTTCTGAGTATAGCAACGATTACTTAACCACTCAACCAGCAATAAAATGATTCAATTAAACTTCGAAGTCTATGTCTCTAAAATTTTTATTTGTAAAAGCATTTTTTTTGAATAATTAAAAAACTTACATAAATTAAGAATACGCCTACACAAATACGTCAATTCAAACGCGCACAGACACAAATTGGATTTATATCGAATCTATTTGATTTTACAGATATCTAAAAAATAAAATAAGAAATGTTGCAAATAAGAAGTAAAAAAAATAAAATAATACTCAAAAAAAAAAGCTTAACAAGGTTTATGTTATTAAAAATGGCATTGACGCCATCAGACTTAAAAAATGAATCAAGAAATGTTGCGATTCAGAAGTAAAAAATATAAAAATATCTATAAAAAAACCTAACACGTTTTATATTATTAAAAATCACTGTCGGATCAAGATTGAAAATGTTATTGACGCCATCAGACTTAAAAAGTGAAATAAGAAATGTTGCAATTAAGAAGTAAAAAATATAAAAATATATATGAAAAAATCTAACACGGTTTTTGTTATTAAAAATCACTGTCGGATCAAAATTAAAAATGTTATTGATGCTATCAGACTTAAAAAATGAAATAAGAAATATTGCAATTAAGAAGTAAACAATATAAAAATATATATAAAATAACCTAACGAGGTTTATATTATTAAAAATCTCTATCGAATCAAAATTAAAAATGTTATTGACGCCATCAGACTTAAAAAATGAAATAAGAAATGTTGAAATTAAAAAGTAAAAAATATAAAAATATATATAAAAAACCTAACACGGTTTATATTATTAAAAATCACTGTCGGGTCAAAATTAAAAATGTTATTGATGCAATCAGGGATAGGAACTCTTTCTGGCTTTGGTGAATTTTAATTTTTCCAGAAAATCAAGTTTTTTACTTGTTGCGTACTCACGCAAAACAATGACATTTTTATTCGGAGAAAACTTATGCCCCGTGGACAAAAGATAAGGAGATGTTCCTGCCAGACTGTACGAAATAAATTGCATTACAATCCTCACAGTTCGAAGAACATATTCTTGGTCTAGAAAAAGAATCTATTGGATCCTTAATTTTTATTATAAATTGTTTTAATCTATTGTTTGTTTTAAACGCTATAGATAAATTCCTGCTCTTAAACAATTCAGCTAGGAGTAAGTCAGGCATTGCAATTTGCATTCGGGAGGGTTTGATTTTATTATATAATACGATAACTGGTATTTGTTGGAAAATTTGTAAAATAATTTGTTGATTGAAACTGAACAAAATAGATAATCGATATTGAATGCATTTTTCACAGGCTACTGTAATACTTTTTACAAAACTTCTGGATTAATCCTGCGTCGGTTTTTGCTTCGCCAATCATCCTGTTGGGCTCTTCAGAGCTTGACCGAAACTGTTTCAGTGTAGCTCAGAAGGCACTAAAAGCTCTGAAGTTTTTGATAGGGTTTGAAAACAAAAGACCATTTGACTTCCTTTTAAGTTTAAGTCAGCTCTGAAGAAGCCAACAGGATGATTGGCGACACGTTAGCAAGTTCGACTCAGCAAAATCCGACGCAGCAGGTATCCAGAAGTTTTGTAAAAAATAATATTGAATGGAATTTGTCTAATCGTCGTCAATTCGTTATTCAATGCCTCTTTTGAAAGTGGAATGTTCAAAAGCCTCCAGAATTAACCCATATTATCCCAAGCATAAAAAAAATACTTTTTTGCTCTGAAATTATTTATTTTGTTGCACTTAAGAATACATTAAAGGTTTTGGGGCATATAAGGTGTAACATATAATTTATACATAAATTACAATATACAAATTCGACAGAAGACAACTAAAAGTAAATTGTTTTCCTGAACCTGATTTGATACAAAAAAACGCATAATATTTTATGGCCCGTGAGCGCACCACTGGTAACAATTGATTTCGTTTTGGTGATATTTTACAACGCATGAAGTATGGAAATGCACATTACACTTGTTACAAACGTAAATTGTGTGGCTGTGGCAGATTCTACATCTCCTTCGGGCTTTCTTAGGAGAAACAATCATAAGGTGACCTTGATTATCATAACGCACTTTATCTATGGCAGGTGCAAGATTTCTTGTTTTATCAGTCTTTAAAAGTCCCAAAACAATGTAAGGTTTAAAATCAAATCAATCACTTCGCCATTAAAAAACGTAAAAAATATTTCAAGCGGAGTTTTTCCAGAAAGCCTATTTTTTAGTTCCTCACATGATCTAAATTCATCGGATATAGATGCGTGAGTGTACTCAATCTGACCTTTCTTCCATTTTACAGTAGAAGCAAGCCTGTCGTTTGCGGAAAGCATACCTCTTCTTTTGAATTTCAGGGTTTCACCATCTGATGAGTACGATTTAGGTTTAGTGTTTGATGAATTACAGGATTGTTGAAGGACAGCTGTATCATTCGGTGTATGTAACTCGAAAGTTCCAACTATATCAGTTAGTTCCCCAAACTCTTATAAATTTATGTTATCGTTCATATCTTCTTCGTCAGTCAAGGTGGAATATAGACCGCGTCAATATGTTCTGTAAATAAGTTTTCACGTTATTTTTAGCATAAATTTACAAGGAATGGAATGCTACAATACATAAGAATACATAAATCCAAATAATACTTGCGACATTCATTGTTATTGTCCTCATCCATCACAATCTCTTTTGAGTCAAATATCTCGGAAATGCCATATTTTACGAACTGTAACGTTCACTGCACAAGGCACAAAGCAATACTAAAGAACACGCTAATTGTTGGATGTTTATTCTACATGCGCTGACTTGTCTAGACTTGCAATAACAAAGTTTTCTTTCACAGATAAAACCAGTCGTGCATTCACGCGCCAGTAAATATTTTCAAAAAATAAAGCATAATCAGTATAGTATTTCTAATGTATGTTTTCTGCTATGAAACCTACATACAAAAATAGTAATACAAATCCAAAATATATTTTTTTACTATTTTGGATTTACTTGAAAATGTGATACAAAGTCATATAGAAGATCTTTCCCTTACACACAAATTAGCTATTTCTAGAGTTTTATGTCCTTTAGTGATAATAATAAAATTTCTAAATGGATGTGCAAAAACAAAAAACATAGAATATGGGTTAAGAGTTAAAAGAGTTGGAGGAACATTACAGCACACTGTCAGTAGATGTGGCCTTCATAAAAATCTCGAATTCAATTCTTCTACTTTTCCTAACTAAATTCAGGCCGTGAATGTTGATGTGATTGTGCTAAGAGAGTGTTTTTTTGTGAAATTTTGTTGGTCCATATTCAGGACATTTTTTTTGTCAAAAATTTTTTGGACCGACAAAGCAAAATTTTCAGAAGAGAATATTTTTAATCGAAGGAACTTTTGCCATCTTGACCATTCACCTGCTATAGATAAATTCCTGCTCTTGAACAATTCAGCTAAGAGTAGCGAAATGTTGCCGAAATAGGTCAGGCATTGGAAAATACGTTCTGGAGGTTTTGATTTTACTATATAATACGACAATTGGTATTTGTTGGAATTAAGAACTAAAATTTGGAGGCTAATTGCATCGCATTGTCAGTGGATGTGGACTTTATAAAAAAAAATCCTGAATTCAATTCTTCTACTTTTCCTAACTAATAGAAGATCAAGAAACGGTAAGGTACCCCCGTCTTAGAATTTGTAAACGTTAGGAAATCGGTAAGGCTTTGTTAGCTGCCATTCGTTCGTATTTCAAGCTATTAAATATGTGGAGAATTGGATATCTATAATTAATAAAATTTCACTTAAAAAGGGTGACAGACAAGAAGCCATTAGTCTTGTGGCTTGTCTAAAAAAATTATTATCACACTTAAACTAATTTCGTTCTAACGTGGATGACAACAACTTTTGGCAAAATGGTATCATTCAACAAAAAGCTCACTAAATCAATGCATTCAGATGGTGTAATGCTTGGGAATAAATTTTAACGAACAGAATTTTGGGTAATTTATGGTACGACCAAAATTATAGTGCATTTATTGCTTAACTACAGAGCTTTAAGGGCAGACCTTCGTAGGACCGTGGTTAACCTCATCCCAACAGATGTTTATTCTGCATTAAATAGGTCTTACCTTAGATTTGATTAAGCATTGATGCTACGGGGTATAAGTAGAAGTGTTTATTTTGACATCAGCTTCAAATTACGGACACTTATCGTGTTTTATAGCAACGTTCAAAAAACGGTCGAAAATCGAAAAAAAAAGATAGACGCCGAAGTTTGAACGCAGTCATTTTTACATATCTTATGCACCCCGTGGACGGTTAAGGAGTAAAATTTGAAGCGTTTATCTCAAACCGTTCGGAAGTTATCATCGAAAAACCCTGGAACAGAGAACGGAGAAATGGAGAACGGAGAACAGACAGACAAAAAATAAAACCGTTTCTTTTTCTTTTGGATGCCGATTCCACCTGTACCAACGGCTACACTGTGAGATGCACCGTTATGGAGATTTCGAGTTTAGTGATTTTTCGAAAATAACAAGATTGCTTTCGAAAAACCGTCGCTGGGTGGGGCAAGTTTGTAGCGCGTAGCAGCTTTTTATTTTAAAAAGAAAGAGCTCCGCGTTTTTTTTGTGGTAAAGGAAAGCAATGTTTTTCTATCGTGGTCCTGCGAGCCACTATGGAACTTTCTCAAAATAGATGTAATTTTATTGTGCATACACCCTGTGTAAAGTGTCTTTCAAGCCTCTCCGAACTTCAAAGTTTCAGCAAACTTTGTTAAATTTTCAAATTTGTATAAATAATAGCGTTGTCGAATGATATTTTTTCAAGTATCTCGCGCACCCTGTATAATTGACGAAACCTAAAACTCTCTCTGGACATAGTTTACGATACCGTTCAAATCAAATTAACGGATTTTTAGCTTAGTCCTCCATTTATCCCCAATAATTTACCAACAAGAACGTTCTTCGTATTTTTGCCCATAAACGACACACCCTGTATATGATTCAAACAATGTTCGAAAAGAGGTTATATATTTTTGGTTAATAATTCATTCCCAAAAAATACAACTTTCACGGTCTTTTAGATTTTTGTCCACAATTGAAAAACCCTGTATATAATCAATAGCCCCGCATCTCCCACATTTTCTGGTTCTAAAATATTGCCGATCGGTTGAATTGTTTTTGAGAAAATCATGTTTTTCTGGAAGACAAAATAGTGTAGAAATATTCTCAAATTGTTTAAAAAAATATTTGGTTAAATTTCACTACGCTCAATTTCTACTGTTTAGATGTGCTTTTACTTCCTTGCCAAATTTGAAGTCGATGACGTTTTAGAATATAGCACAGAATATTCCGAACACCCTGTACAATATATGAAAACCTTAAATGCAAAAGTTTTAGCTGTCAATTATCAATATAAAGGGAGCTCAATTTTCAGTTTCCTGCAAATTACTGACGCACCCTGTACATTTTTAAAAAATCATCAAGAATAAAGGTTTTCGGTCCGGATCTTGATTTTTTTTTCGGTGCCCTGCAAGTGCAGCTTTTAAAATTTAAAAAAATACGACCCCCCAGCCAGTTTCAAAAGGCTTCATTACGGAGCTCTATACATCTGTCAAATTTTAAGTGGATGGCTTCAAATTTCGGACACTTATTGTGTTTCACAGCAATTTCCAAAAAACAGTCGAAAATATAAAAAGAAGCTGGACACCTTGGTTTCATCAGACTCATTTTTTACTGGTTTGTGTACCTCGTGCACGGCTTAAAAGGAGCCAAATTTGAAGATCTTGCTACAAACCGTCCAAAAGATATAGCCAATTAATGCTAGGTCTAGAGAGAAACGGAGAACCGATAACGGATAACGGAGAACAGAAAAACAAAAAAAATTTTGACGCTGATCATTTCTGTACCAATGGCGGTCCCCTAGGACCTACCGTTGCCGAGATATAAGTTTATAGTATAACATGATTGCCAACATCCATAGACGATAGGCACCAGAAGAAGAAAAATAATCACACGTTTTTAGTGAATTGGAAAATGCAATCATATACATGGTTAAAAGTAGGTTCATTGATAGAATCAGAAAATGAATCGCACCTGTAAATTTTCTCTAGTACGTCGTAAACTTTGGGATTTTCGGGGTTCAGCTGTCCGCAAGGCGGTTCTCCGCAATACAGACTCCAAGGCCGCTCGTTCACGCACACTGCTAACTCTCCGAGACCTTCCTCCGGTCCCCAGGTCCATCCGTTGCCAGCGTGGCCAGGCGTATCCACCTCCAGCAGCACCCTGATACCCCTGACCCTGGCAAACTCCACCAAGGCTTTCACCTCTTCGGGGGAGTAAGTTTCCTCGGGACTGTACGAACCGGTCTTTGCTAATTGAGGCACGTTCGGTAGTACCATGGGGAAACTCTGAGAGTCCGTCACGTGCCAATGGAACACGTTTAGTTTGTTGGCCGACATGCCCACCTGGAAGTTGGAAAAATCAAGCCCGTAAGTTATGCCGAAGAAAGGAACTTACTAGAACACGTTTAAGGCTTTCGACTGGCATGAAGTTGCGGGCGGTGTCGACCATAAGGCCTCGGTACGGGAACGCGGGGCCATCTTGAACGGTGGCGCCTTTAAGTACTTTTAATCCCCCGATGTTGTTAGCGTACTCGTCCCACCTGTGACACAAAAACCACAAAAGGTAACAGAAAGCAATGTTGACTTTTCAAAGAAACTGCCACTTCTGGATTCCTACTGCGTCGGTTGTTGACGAATCGATCTTGCTGCCAATCATCCTGTTGGTTTCTTCAGAGCTAACATTCACCTCACTATCCGATCCAAAAATCATCCGGTCTCTGAACCCAGAATTAAAACAATTTACATCTGTTTCTCCTTCTAGTAATTTTCACGAGCGTTCCATCACAAAAAAATACTTCACCACAACCTTCCAAAGACAATGAGTAGAAAAGCAACCCTACCCAAAATTTGCCGGCCTGACAGAGGTGCAGCTCCAGTATCACGATAAAACTTTGTCTTATTTTAAATATATATTTTAATGGGTGCGAAAAAAAAAATTGAAGTCTTGCGTCAAATAGTTTTTTATTGAAAGTATTTTAAACAAGACGTGTCAGAAAAAATGTCGCAAATAAAGCAAATTGAGTATAGAGCAGTCATGAAGTTTTTGACGAAAGAAGGGTTAGCACCTAAAATTATTAAAGAAAGGCTGGATGGTGTGTACTGCCAAAGTTCTCCTTCGTATTCTGTAGTGAAAGAATGGGCAAAACGTTTTCAAATGGGGCAGGAGTACCTTCAAGATGATTCAAGAACTGGTCGACCAGTGGAGGTCATAACGAGAGATATTGCTGCGATTGTGGAAGAGGTGGTATTGAGTGATCGACGTTTAAAGGTCAAGGAAATCTCAGAAATGACAAAGCTTTCTGATACAAGTGTTCGTCGAATCCTGCATGATCATTTAGGAATGCATAAGTGCAAGATGGGTTCCTAAAAACCTTTCGGCAATTCAAAAACAACGCCGTGTCGAGTATGCGTGGTCTTTTTTGGAACCAAAGCATGTGATGACTATTGTGACGGGAGATGAAACTGGAGTGGCGTCGTAAGAGTGAAGCACCTCGAAGAAAATTCAGAGTCTTCCAGTCAACAAAAAAAGTGATGGTCACGATCTTTTGGGATTGTGAAGGAATTCTTTTGATAGATTGTGAAGAAACTAATATCACTGTCAATGGTAAATAGCGTGCGTCTTTTGCACGATAATGCACCTGTCCATACTGCTCGTGTTGCACAAGCTGCCATTTTAGAGTATGGGTTCCAATAGATAGATCATCCTCCCTATAGTCCAGATATTGCCCCCAGCGACTGTTATTTGTTTGGATATTTGAAAAAGGTCTTACGTGGACGGCGGTTTGATGACGAAAGAATATTTTTTTAAAGGGATGTAATAAGTGTATTGAAGTTAAGGGGAATTATATTGAAAAATAATAAAAAATTGTTACTCTACTTTGTTTCTTTCATATTCGGGCCGGGCAATGCACATTTGCCACTGTTCTAAATAAATATAACGTCAAAACCAGATTTACCCCTTGCCCAAGAATCTCGCAACATCTTCGATGCTTCGAGATAGCAGGAGTTTACAGTATGTGGCAAAGAATATATTGGAGAGATCGGACGAAAAATATCAACTAGTCTCGAAGAACATGAAAGAGCTTTAAGATTAGGACTACGACTACGAACTCAATCACGAAACCGGACATCAAATTTTATTCGATAAAACTAAAACTCTTGCAAGTAACCAATAGAAATCTATAAGCGACCAAACAATCTTAACCGTGACTCAGGACTTTATTTTCCGGTTTTCGTATTTATTTTTTTATATATTTATTTTACAACTTAGTGCAAATCTGTAAATGCATTCTCATTGGAACTTTTTAGGATTCATCTTATGGCCAGGTCAAAAATCTCTTGTTACGTTTCGTTTTTGTCAAACCATCATGAACTTTATTTTTTCTTATGGTCGCTATATTGGATTTTTACAGTATTGAATAGTCCGTATTGCTGCTTTTGTATTGATGTATCATGAGTTGTATTTGTGTTCCTTCAAATTCGAAATAGTGAACAAAAAAATTTATACCATAGTAAGCTATGAATTTTCAAATCTGACGATGACATTATAATATCTCGTGCATTCTGCCTCGTTAAAAATGGAATTTACCAACGAAGAAAAACGAGATATGGTAAAACTTTATTATAAAAGCGATAGAACTTTATTTAAATTATTTGATAGAAATCTCCTAAGTTTGCTCCGTTTGAAAAACTAAGTCATAAAGATGGAGATAGAATGGATGAGGAAACGAAAGAAAATTTAGTTAATGATGTAGGATTTAGGTGAAATTATTTTATCCCTTTCAATAGAAGTTGAAGTTGAAGACAAATGTAAACCCGAGAAAATCAACAGGCCAAGTTTACTCTGATGTACGTGCTTCTTCTTGTCATACGAGTGCTTGAAGACAACTAGAGAGAAGTGGTTTCAAATGTTTCAAAATTCATATCTACCTCAAAATTTACAATTTTGTAATAGTAGAAAACGTGATTTGGACAGATGAAAGTACTTTTACAAATTGTGGAATATTCAATCGAAACAACGAACATATCTGGAGCATTAACAACCTCAAGCAATTTCGAGAAATTCGCCCCAATTTCGATTTAGTCTTAATGTGTGGGCAGGTATTTATAAAGACATTTTTTTGACGGTACTCCCAATGGACAATCGTATTATCAGTTTTTGACATCAACGCTTGAAGACTATTTGGATAATTTACGTTTGATCCACTACAACAGCATGTGGTTTCGGCACGATGACGTCCTGCCTCACAATACAATACAGGTATCTGATTATCTTTCGACAAGGTTTGGTGATGCATGGATGGGAAATAATGGACCATTGAGATAGCCAGCCAGAGCTCCAGATGGGAAATACATTGCGCAGTGCATAACATGCAGAGAAGAGTTGAACTGTGTTTCGAGAATCACGGACAACATTTTGAGCATCTTCTGTAATTTATTTATTATACCCATTGTTATTGTTAGGTTTTTAAAATATCCTTTCCATCCATTCATAATTTTATTTTAGTTTTTCGGGACACATGTTTAAATACATTTCCCATGTCTTCCCATAATAAATTGTTACCATATTTTTCCTTCCTTGGTAAAGTCCATTTTTAACGACACAGTAATGGACTAGATATTCAGGTCTCATCGACAGACTTCATGATTCAAAGCTTGCTGTGACATAAAAGTTTTGGTTCAATATTTCGAATTGGAGGGAACAGAAATACAACTTGTGATGCATCAATGAAAAGGTAGCAGTACGGATTATTCAAATCCAATATGCCGACCATAAGAAAAAATTAAGTTGATGATAGTCGCAAGGGATTTTTGACCTGGCCACAAGATGAAGCCTAAAAAGTTCCAATGAGAGAGTATTTACAGATTTTTGCCAAGTTTTAAAACTGGAAGCTTCAGATTTTCCGCTATATTTCTGGAAGTAACAAAAATAATTTCAATTTCAAACTCGAAACTTACCGTCACTGAGATATTAATGGTGAGAGTCTAATTTGAAACACCCGATATAGAAGCAGGTACAGAGTACCCTGCGTTCAATTTATCTTGATAATATTTTTAACGGCTGTAACTTTTTTGTTTTTAGAAATATCAAGGTAAACAAAAAACAAAAGGTAGAGTTAGACAAAACACTATCAATTCTCATATCATATAAGTCTACATCATGTTCCGATTAGCATGATGTAATACACTTTATATTTTAGTCGACTCGCTTTTGTAATGGTTGAATTATTGTCCAAGTCATTATTGTTAAATTAGTTTATCGTCAGTAAATTAGATAGAGCGCCGAGGTCTTTCAAAAAAGATACTTCCAAGGCTGAAAAGAAAATTAGCCAAACATCAAAAAGATGCAAAAGAATAGCTATTTTGCATGCTGGCTCTAAAGATGGTTGGATTCCAAATGAACTTTCTGTGTCTGCGAAAAATATTAAAGATTCTTCTCTGGATTACCATGAAGACACCACCGCTGATTTATTTGAAAGTTGGTTTAAAAACGAACTAGTTCCAAACATTCCTCTTAATAGCGTCATTGTAATGGACAATGCAAGTTATCACAGTAGACAGTTGACTAAAACCCGTTCCTCATGTGACACAAAAGCACCAATCCAAAATTGCATGTATAATAACGACATTTATTTTCACGGAGATTATACCAAAAAGCAATTAATTGAGGTTTTACAAAGCTTGAACCTACAAAGGAAATACGTCTGTAATAGTTATGCAAAAAATCTAGGGCCTACAGTTTTAAGGCTTCCACCTTACCACTGTATATTTAATCCCATTGATCATGTTTGGCACTAACTGAAATCTGCCACTCGTCGTAACAATGTTTTTCCCCGTGTTAACTCCAATGTCCTCAAACTTATAAAAACCGAAGTTTTTAACATCCCTCCACAAAGTTGGGCAAATTCTGTTAAATATATAGAAAAAGCAGAACAATCGTATATCCATATTGCAAATAATATAAAACAAATAATAATTAGAACAGGCAATGACAGCGATAGTGATATGTATATATTATGTGAATAATTTTAAGTAATTTAAGTAGGTAATAAAAATAATTTGTAATTTTATTTTAGGTTTAAACCTAAATACATACATAAATAAATAAATATTGTTTAATATCTTTATTAACCAAACCCCAAATAATTAAATTCTAAGCAAAATACGGACCTGTCCGGCCATATTTCATTCTTACAGCTTGCCTTAATTCGTATCAGTTAGTCACTTTCTCATATATATGGACAGACTTTACCAGAGCAAGATGCAGTCCTGACGAAGTTGGAACACGCGTTCGAAGCGTTTTCGGAACGCGAGCATTGAAGATGCCAAGTGAGATTTTGGCGAAACGTCTGCAGGATTGCAGTCGGTTGCAGGATTCCAGTCGGAGTTCAACAAGCGAACGGATGATATCCCGGAATATAGTGTCATCACATTTTTCCATCCGTGAATCAATACATGAATATATATATATATATATATATATATATATATATATATATATATATATATATATATATATATATATATATATATATATATA